CCCGCAACATTTTCTTTGGCTCCATCACCAGTGCTCGGCACAGTAACGGCATCCAGTGAAAGGGCAGGGCAGCCTGGCCAGCTCGTGGAGCTGACCAAGGTCACGCTCACCAGTGCCACCTCCAGGCTTGTGTGTGCTCCGGCCTCCACCTGCGCTATCTCCCCCGTGTCCTTCCATCTACTCGGCCTCCAAGTCCACTCGCCCACAAGGCCACCAGCACCTCCATGCACTCACTCCTCCAACTCGCCTTGTCTGGCCAGGTGTTTGGCCTGTACCTGAGAGCTGACCTCCACTAGTGGGCCTGGGAAGTGACAGGAGTTTGATACTGAACACCTGCTTGTCAGACTTCATGAAACTGGAGGGAAAATGCCCCAGTTCAAACTGCCCTGACTCTTCCTCCTCTCCATCCTCGACAAGAAAAGGATACCACGACAGTTTGGAGGGGGTCACCTTGGTCTTCTGTTGTCCCCAAAACAAATGACCACTGTCGTCAACAGCTCAAAACAGCCACCTCTCACTGCTTCGTGGGTCGCTAGTCTCAGGAGGCTGCTTTCCCCGCTCAGGCTCACGAGGCCCGGCTTGCTGGACCACGGGCCCAAGCCAGGGCGCTCACAGGCGTGACCGGGACCTGGGGGGGCTCCTTTCCAAGCGGATGCAAGTGGGGCCATTTCATGCCTGGGCTGTAACACTGGGGTCCTTTTTTGTTGGGTGGGGCAACTCTCAGCTCCTACTGGCCACTGGGAGGTCCTTCCACAGAACCCCTCTACTTCAGCCAGAGAACCTCTCATGTTGAATTCCCCTAACAATTTTTGGAAACTGACTCCTTTTCTGCTCCCAGAAATAGAAACAGTAAAATCTGCTGTCACCTCGGTTACCATACACCCTTCCTACGGCATCTGTGCTGGGAAACCTTTATTTTCCCCTAGTTCTCAAAGGACAGAGGTGGCAGGTTAGGATCAGGGGGCTGTATCGTCCAAGCAGCCGCACTGGGAAGCGCCGGAGGGCCCGAGCACCGGGCTGCACTCAGCGGCATCCTCCTTATAGATAGCGTGTCTCTCCTTGAAGCCCTGCAAGTCTGGCTCCCCGGCACAATGCAAGGAAGAAGCACAACGAAAGCTAAGGCCTGCCTTGGCCCCGGCGCCCGACACCTGGAGGTGGTGAGGTGTGCAGGCTGCGGTGGCCGTGCTGCCCTGCCTTGTCTGCATGCGCCTCACCGGGCGGTGCCGAGGGAAGGCCTGTACTGGAGTGATCGTGCCTTGAGGATATCATCAAAGCAGAAAGAACCCCAGTTCTGACACACTAGGAAGGTGCCTTTCTGAATAAAGCACAGGGTGCACGGGCTGGGCCCAGCACAGGGCCTGCCCTGCATGTCCACCGACAGCGAGGACGGGCCCGAGTAGCTGTCTCCACACACGGATGCCAGGCCTGGTTGTGTGACCACCTGTGCCCCTGCCCTCGCGGCCCTGCTGCGCTCCGGCAGGTCTGGTACTGGCAACCAGGCACGTGAGCCTGGGGCTGCCCCTGGGCAGCCACTTCCCTAAGTGGACCACGGTCTCCTGGTGAGATCTTTGTTTTCACACCAATATCCACTAGAGCATTGATCCTTAATTTTAACATGCTCCAGAGTCCCCCGGAAGTCATCTGCTGGACTGCTGCACCCCACTTGTGTCTGCTTTAGTGTCTGGAGTGGGGTTCAAGACCCGGCACTCCTGGCAAATCCCGTATGCCAGTCAGGCTGCTGCCCAGGGGCCACACCTGAAGAGCTGCTATGCAGGCACAGACGCTGGGCAATGTGCCCAGGTACGTCCTGATGTTCAAAATCAAACAAAGCAGAGGGTGGAGCGTTCAGATGTGGCAAAGGAAACCTGGAGGGGAGGCCCGTGCACGCCGCAGCAGCCAGGTGCCAGTCTCTGCCAAGCGCTACCGGACAGACCAGTGTAGCCCACAGGCCCACCCCGCCCACGCCTCAGGCCAACCGCAGTGTGGGTAGGACCACAACAGAGGCCACCGCTGGGCAAAGCATCTCAATTCCGGCGATGCGGAAGCTTTTGGATTCAGAGCATGTGCGAGGGAAGACGGGCACAAAGACCCGCGGCGTGCTGTGGGCCACAAGGACTGTCGACCACCTCGGCCACAGGCCGTCCTCACCCATCTCCACGGCTACCCAAAGTGAGCTTTCGCAAAGACAATGTCAGGTGAGAACACAGCCAGAGGCCGTGGGATGTCGGGCCAGAACACACCCACAGACCCTGAGTGGCAAGCAACCCCCCTCTCCCCTCCCCCCCCAGAAGCAACAAAATTAGCAGGGCAGCACCTCAGGGGGTGATCTGCCCCGTGACTTACCTCTGGGAACCAATATTTACCTGCTCTGGTTTTCTGCTGATAAGAATACTTAGCACCTTGCTGAAGAAACTGGCAAGCAGGGGGTTCAGGGGGGAATCGTTTAGGAGGAAGCTGTATAATTTCATTAGCAAGGCTTCGTCTTCCCCCAACCTGTCATTCATCTGGGAGACATCGGAGGTGAGCAACTCACAGGAGATATTTGGATACCTGGAAGGACAGGACACCGAGGTCGTCATCCGCATTCGGGTTAGTCTAATCACAGAGTAAAACACATGCCAGAAAGGCTTCCAGCAATTCTGTGAATAAATAAAAGCCAGATGCAAATCGGAAAACCCTGCCAACCAATTCTAGCCAACACCTAGCCTGGGGTGTCTGCTCCGGTCACGCCGTCCTAAGCACACACACGGCCCAAGCAGACCAGGGCGCAGCGAGGACACTCCGCCTGGCAGCTCAGGCTGCAGGGCCAGGCTGGGCGGTGGCTCCCACAGCGGACGCTGGCGAGGGCAGAGCTTGCGGGGCAGCATAGGCGGCCCCTGGGCCGGCAGCAGTCTGGGCCCAAGCACGCGCTGGTCTGGATCACATCTTAAGAGAATAAATGTTCTAACACTGCAGTGCAGAACAAGGCCCCGCGGCAGGGCGCTTCCAAGGCCCGTGGGAATCAGCCACGGCCAGAGCTTCTGCTACTGACCCCAGGGCCCCATGGGGGGGGGGGGGCTGGAAGTACTGCAGCCCCCGGGCAGGCTGGCCTCTAGACCCCGGACACTCGCTCGAGAAGGTGGCAGAGCCCTCTCTGCCGCTCACTTCCTTCACTAAGACTCTGGGGCGTCCATCGGATCCCTCACCCCACAGCTCAGGCCCTGCTCTTTATACCTCCAGCCCAGCAGCCACTTTCTAGAAGCAACTTGTCAAGAGTGGCAAGCCCAACACTGACCAGCACAGGGAGGCGAGGGAGCAGATGTGATCGTCTGACAGAAGCAGGGGGCGCTGTGGGCTAAAGCACAGGCAGCCCCCTCGAGGTACCCGGACTGCAAGTAATTGCCTGGGAGCTGGCAAGTGCCTGAAGGCCACAGCACCCGAGGGTGAGGTCAGAGACTGACAGTGTGAAAAGTTCCAACGTGAACTCTGTGGGGAAGGAGAAAACGGGCGTCACGGGAACCGGAACCACAAGTACGTGGTCGTGCGGGGTCCCCAGCATGGCCTTTTTTCCTGGGGCCCATGGGCCTAATCAGTGGAGTCCTCCTGGCTTTATGAAAGGGGTGGCCGTGGCGTGGCACCATGTTGTCTGGGGACAGGGGGCATGGCCGCTCGGGTGGGCATCTATGGGCAGAGCCTCTCGTAAGGTGTGGCCGTGGGCATCACCTCCCGGGACCTCCGCTTGCAGGTCTGTGCTGTCTGGACCAGAGCCTGACCTCGTCGGGAACACGCAGGAGGTCTGCACCAGCTCCCTGGGCTGTGGCCTCACAACCCTCACATCCTTACAAGCTGTAAGGATGGGTAAAGAGCAGCCAACCCAGCCTGGCTCGGATTCTGACTGAGGCGGTCCAGAACAGGCTGGGGCTATTCTCCCAAGCTCCTAACGTCAACTAGCTTCTAAGCCCCGAAGATACACTCTGCTCTGCCCCTTGGCAAGAACAGCCCCAACAGATGCTGACCCGCTGTCTGTGCCCAAGAACGGAAGAGCGCTCAGAGGAGGGCCCGCACGCAGAGCGCTGTCCTGGCCCAAAAGCCACCCCGCTCCGGCTGGCTCCCCCTCCCTGCCCTGCCACCTACCCACACACAGCTGGGACTGGGTCGCCTTGGCGCTTCCCCACCTGCGCTGAATCTTTCTCGCCAACGTAGAGACCCACCTTTATTTCCGCCATCCAGGGAAAAAAGAAGCAAACACCCCATCTCTCCTGCCCCCACAGCTGTCGCGACGTTCGCCCACTGCTCCCTTTCCAGGAAACCACTTGGAAGAACTCTGTCTGCTTGGTCTCCGACTCACCCTCGAAAGGCTGTCCTCCCAGCTCCTCGGCGCAAACACCGGCGCGCAGCCCGGCCCCAGCGACCCGTCTCCGGCCTGAAGCCTGTTGCTCCTGGGCGCCTCCAGCTCCCCCACTCTGCAGTCCCTCTCTGAGACCCATGACCCAATCTGTACAGCACCTTAGCTTCTGGATTTGTACTACAACGCAAGGGCCTATTTTTAAAGTTCTTTTAGCTCAAATTTCTGCTAAATAATTAAAAATTGGAAGATGCTGACAAACCTTTAACACCTGTATAGGGTCACTAAGTTAAGGTAAACGGTGCTGGGTTTCAACTCACACGAGCACCTAAAATACATCTGCAAAGTTCGCAAAATCCAGCAACTCCTCCACCCGGAAACTGGAAGACATTAGCCTGCATTCCGAGGGGACAATCAACCTGCCCTCAGGCTGGGGCATGAGGACCCCAGGGAAAGGCACCCTGTGGCACCCCAGAGCGCAACAGGAGACCCCTGCAGGTGTCACAGTGACACACAGGAGACAGCAGTAAGGCAGGTCAACAAAAGGCACGACTACTTGTTTTGGCGAAACAAGCCCTTTCCGAAAGGCAGGCCTGCTCCTCCCCACCCAGAGGCCCAAGAAGGGTGAGGGCGGGTTCCTGAGCCGGAGGGGTTGGGCCAGACGCTGCAGCAGGGCAGGCCTGAGCCGCCTCACCGCTTGGCCAGGATAGCGCCCTCGGGCCTCCGGGGCGACAGGAACCCCTGGGAGCACAGTGCCCACCTCGCAGAGGAGGGACACAGTGATGTTTCTGCTTTCCACTTTCTTTCCCTCCTTTCTGAAGGCACTGCGCTCTGAGCAGAGGCTGGCAAAAGCATGACTTCCTTGAAGCTTCAAGTCAACATCAACTTGAAAGCACTAGTAAGCGTTATTTCCAACAGTAAAATTCCCCCATGAAGAAATAAAAAGGTGTGTGGCGCAACACGTTGGAGCACAACACTGTGAAGCTCTCCGCAGCCACTCAGCGTGAGCTCAATCCCCGGCCCCTCCCGCTGCTCCCCTTAGCGGTGTATTTTGCCAGTGCACCTATTCTGTTCACCACTGTCTGGTGAATCCCCCCCCCCCCCAATCCCCGCACCTCCGACCTGTACCCAGTTCTGGATGCATAAATAAGGAAATATTAAAAAGTGTCTGAAAAGCGGGACAGCTAGGGATCTAAAATAGGCAAAGGAGAATCTATTAAAGGACACAATTCTTCCCATTAAGCTTATTAATTTTAAAAACTGGCTTTTTGTTCCTGAATGTGCTCTATTTGCAGGGCTGGGGAGAGGAAGTTCAAATATTACACGGGGAGAGACGTGGCCGAGACCCCAATGCTTGGCGCACACACGGAATGTTCACAGGGCCTGCAGGGCACCACCCAACGCTGCGAGCCCGACAGCAGGCCCTGCCAGGAAGCGGCAAACCGCGCGCGACACAGTCTCGGGCTTCTCCAAGACGGCTCGCGCAGTCAGCTGTGCTGGCCTCACCAGACCCACCGCCTTCTACTAGCTAAAGGTCACAATGTCTTGTCTCAGCAATGCTCTCCTGGCTCTGACACAAGGCGCGGCCGGGCAGCCCTACCGCCTCTTCCTATCTGCAGAGCGAAGATAACACTTGGATAGTCTCACCGCTTTAAGAAACGTGTCTGCCCTCCCACAAGCCTGACTGAAATTCACAGCAGTGGCCTGTAACACCTGAGATTGTGCGGATTCAGCGCTGAGGGCGGCCAGGGCGCCCAGGCTTGCGCGCCACCCCGCCGGGCCCACAGCAGCCCCAGGCAGCTGCCGCGCCAGCGCTCTCTGCCCCACGCCACTGAGACCCACCCGAAAGGGAAGACCGGATTCTCTTACTTGTATCGGATCTTCTCATCCATGTCTTGAGGTGGTTCTTCTATAATGAATGAGACTAAATCTTCAAGACATTCTGCTTTTAACAGAAACTCTATAAGTTTGCGGTTCTGAGCTTTACATTCCTGTAAAACATCTTCCTCATCCATTAACTCCTTCAGCGTTACATCTTCTCTCTCTAGAAGTGTGTCTATGTGAGATGATGAGTGAAGATCAAACTTCCAAAACATGCTGGTCTAAACAAAAGGCAGAGAGGATTTCAAACAAAACTTCAAGTTCACATGTTAATTTTCCAAATGTCAGTTTAGGTTTCCAGTCTGAAATGCAACTTGGATTACACAAGTAAGCCTGGTTCCATAATGAGGCCATAAGGTGCTTCCTATATAAGTAACAGTGGCAGGATCTTCTCAGAAAATCTTTTTTGACAACTAAAAAAACTTCACTTGGAAAGGCTGAAAGCTAGATAACCCGTGGTAATATTAACCTGCAAAATTTACCATTCAGGGGCCCTCGTTGGTGGCACAACACGCTACAACAGCACTTTGAAGCTGTCTGCAGCAGCCACTGCAGCACGAGTTCGATCCCCAGCCAGGGGGTGACCCACATGGTGCAGAAGACCCCTCCTGTCTCCCTGCTGCTCCCCTCAGTAGTGGACTTTGTGGACCTGCCTGTCCTGCTCCCCACTCTGCCTCTGGGGAACCCTCTCACTGCCCCTGCACCTCTGAACTATACCCCGGTTCTGTATGCATAAATAAATAAATCTTAAAAAAAAAAAAAGACTTATTTAGTTATCATAGAGCTGGGGTACAAACCAGAGCCAGAGGTGTAGAGGCGGTGAGAGGCTTCACCAGAGGCAGAGCGGGGAGCAGAACAGGCAGATGGACGAAGGCCACTGCTGAGGGAGCAGCGGGCGGGCCAGGAGAGGTCTGCCGCGCCCTGTGGTCACCTCCAGGGCAGGGATCGAACTCATGCGGAAGAGGCTTGAGCTTCTTAGTGCTGCGCTCTAACCGCGCACCCCCAGGGAGGGCCTAACTAAATAAATCTTTAAAAAAAATCAACCCACCCAAACTTAGTTAAGAAGTTGATGCTGGGAAAGGAAGAAAGTTAAACCCTTTCTTAAGGGTAAAGAACATCTTTACGTACTGCAGCAACAAATGACAAGTTTTGAGACCTAGGCACTTACCAGAATATCCAGATTTGAATAAATAACCACCCTAAATCAGCACTTCCACAGAAAACAGTCATAAAATGGTAAAACTTGTGCCATTCTTAATAAACTGAGAAGTTGGAACCTAATTCTTGAGAAATCAGAGACTATGACTTCTTCTGGTTACTCAGACAAAACACTTGTGAATACAACTTACAACAGTCGCTGCACAGCACCATGTGGGTGTGTATACACACACGTGCACGGCTACACACGCTCACACATACACGTCTTCTTCCCCACCCTTGTTCAATAGTGAAAGCACATCCTCCTGGTAGCGCAAGGGTCAAGTCTCAGCACTCCGAAGCAGCCACTGCAGCATGAGCTCCACCCCGGCCCGGGAGGAACCCCAGGGGGCAGCAGCCCCCTGCCCTCTCCCGCTGCCCCCTCAGCCGTGGATCTGCCTGTTATGCTCCCGACTCCGTCTCTGATGAATCTTCTCACTTCCTGCACCGCTGTACCCCGGATCTTGTATGCATGAAAAACAGATGAAAACTGAAATCCAGGTTTCACGATGTGACACGACAGTCTCAAATACCACTTCTGACCAACAGATGACAAGATGACTGGGGCAAACAAAAGCCGGAGTGAAGAAGCCCCTTCGCCCCTCCCGTCTGCACACGCGCTCTCTGCAGAACCCGAGCCGCAGCGGCAGGCAGTCACTCCACTTAACCTCAAAGTCAGAACAGGCAGGGACAGCCGAGTGTCCTCTGTCCTGTCACCAAAGCACGCAATGTCCTTGCCCGCGCGTCTAGAGCCTGCGCTGCGCTGGGGAAGTGGGGTGCAGAGAAGGGCAGAGCCTCTGCAGCACGCGCTTACGCACAGGTGTGCGCTGCACAGCGTACACTCACAGGGAGCCACAGACACTGCTTCAAATCCGGAGTTTTTAAACCAGAGATCATGGAGGGAACTAAACTGCTCTGCTCACCCACCCAGCAGCAGCAGAAGCAAATGTCCCCGGGCCAGCCCAGGTCGCCGAGGCTCACCTTCGAACAGAAGCAGCGTTTCCAAGACGTTTAAAGTAAGGATCCTCTAAGGGAACAGAGTATGAAATAAGGCCCCTGCTTAAAACACACCTTTACAGGCCGTGGAAGAGCCACACAGCAGCGCGCACACGCCGCTCAGCTGGGGCTGAGGCTGCCGGCTGGCTGCTCAGACTGGCCCATGGCGCGGGCGTGCGCGCGGGTGCAGCTGCGCGTGCGTCTCGGTGACAGGCCGAGACGGTGCCCAGAAGGCCGCACAGGCCGCGTCAGGAAGCGGCGCCCGCCGGGCCCAAGCAGGCCAGGGCGGGCGCTGAGACACTGCGGGGAGCCGCACTCCAAGGCCCGTCCACCAGCGGGGACTTCGCTCCTCCCGGCGTATGCTAGCGAGGGCAAAGGCGAGACAGGAAAGGAAAACGAGAGCGGGAGAGTGGAAACAACACATTTTCTTCGATTTTCAGATTTGTGGAACACAGCAAACACAAATCTTTAGTGTGCCATTTTAATAAAACTGACAAGCAGGAAAAAATAAGAGGAAAATGCCTGAGGTGAAAAGAAGAGCTGCATAGCCCCACGCGAGGAAGGGAGGGCCCTGTCCAGCACCCCGACACCGTCAGCCCCGGCAGGCCGCCTGCTCCTGCTGGGCCGTCCGCTCTCCGATCGGGAATTTTGACAAGCACAAACTGAAAAGCAACGGACACTGGGCGTCGAGCGCCTGCAGGAGGGCAGCACGCAGGAAGGAGCGCTGGCGTGGCCTGGTGCTCCTGCTCGGCCCAAGGGCATGCCGAGACCCTACCCCTCCTGCCAGCGCACCCCTCTTCAAGGGGACTGACTGGGATCTCGTCCCCGGGGTCTCTACACACTGAAGCTCCTTTTGCTAAGTCGACTCCTCAGGTAGTCCCCCACGGAAAGCGGCCCTGCCACTGCCGGCACCCTGGGCCTCCAGGTCGAGGCGCCTTTCATTGGTCTGTGAAGCCAATTTCTAAGAGCTGAATATTCTCTCCGCTGAAGTCAGAACACGGGACACAGTTAATAACTTAAACTGAAGTTTTCTTTAAAAATTAGGGATCGGGCCCTCCCTGGGGGCGCAGCGGGTTAAAGCACAGCACTAAGAAGCTAAAGCCGCTTCCACATGAGTTCGA